CCTGGGCCTGGCCCACTGTCTGGTGTTCGGGGTGGGCTCGGTGGACAGGTCGCGCCTGCTGACAGCACGCCAGGAGCTGCACGCACTGCTGGCCACGGAGCCCCGGCTGCCTCTGGTCGTGCTGGCAAACAAGCAGGTGGGTGTGGGTGTGCGTCCGGCTGTCCGTTCCCAGAGACGCTCCTGGGGTTGTTTCCAGCTAAACTGTTCCTCACCAGGGCCCTGAGGGGAAATCCTAATATCCAAAATCCACTGGCTCTTACAAAGTCTGATTTCTCAGGGCCTGTCTCCTCTAGTCGTCGGGAGGTGTGAATGCCACTACAGCACCCTAGCTAACAGTGTTTTAGGAGCAGCAGGCAGCAGCATGCAAAAGCCAAGGGGAAAATTCCAAGGGGAAATATATTCCTCAGGCAGGCGGCCAAGCGCGTGGCCGGTTCTGCTTCCCTTTAGTTTGTGCCAAAGCTGCTCCAATGCAAGAGCGGGGCAGCTCTGCCTGCACTCGTTCCCTGCCAGGACCACACGGGCTGGATGGGGCTCCTGCCAGGCAGCAGCATGGCTCCCGGCCCTGCTCCCATCCTGAGCAGCTGCCTCCGTCTCCCATAGGACAAGAGCGACGCCCTGAGCCCGGCAGAGCTGCAGGAGGAGCTGGCCCTGCACACGCTCAGCGGGCAGCGAGAGCTCTTCCTCCTGCCCACCAGCGCAACCTGGGCCGGCCTGAGCACTGCCACCAGCGTCCTCCACGTGAAGAGCCTGCTGGCCACCCTGCTCTCCCAGCCCTGAAACTGCAGGCGGGGCAGACCGGCTCACATCCACGGCACAGCTCCTCTTTGGGGTCCATAGCACAAGGAAGGTGGCCAGCTGAGCACTGCTGGAGCTTAGATTTGCTGGTAGCAGGCTGCCAGTCTCGGGGTATTCACTGCACCCCACAATGTTTGGGATTGAACTCCATCATAGCTGCCCTCAGGGAACATGAGCAGCTGGCTCTGCTCTCTGCCATGGGGAGAATGCAGCTGCCTTCACCACCTCAGGGCCAAAAATCTCACTTGGGATGGAGGCATAAGCACAGCTCTTA